AGAGAGAGAGAGAGAGAGAGAGAGAGAGAGAGAGAGAGAGAGAGAGAGAGAGAGAGAGAGAGAGAGAGAGAGAGATGGTGGTTGTAATCGCCCCTCCGATAGTTAAGAGGGAGCAAAACAAAAACCTGCGGGATGCCATTATCATGGATGAATCGAAAATCAAAACGGCCTTTACAAAGTCAGCTGGTTTTAAGGGGTATATTGCAAAGATGACCGGTTCAATCAACGTGGAAAGTATTTCAAATGTTTGAAATGTCAGAGGGGTATTCCGCTCTTTGGCCATCTTTTAGTAGTATTTTTACTATTTTAGTAATAATTTTACCATGTACGTGAACTTTCAGGGCTATTTCACAACATTTCCCTAAATTCTAGTAAAATAAAAGGAATACCAACCTCTATGCCATCGGAGGCCATCAGTGCAATGTCAGAGTACTTGTAACTGGCCATGGCTCGCAACATATCGGCTTGTAGGCGAGGCGGTCCTGGAGTTGCAGGCTCCTGAGCTCCCTCAACACCCTCAAGTCGCAGCTCATACATCAGCATACTCTGCAGCAAACAAACCAGTGCCTTCAGTTCGGGCTCAAAGTTATCTTGATTTCTATGGAGTGATGCAACCTGGTTTATTGTCATTCACATTGCTCATTTCCTTTCACATTTCCCCAAGATGTCGGAACCTACCCTCCATCCATGATTTGTTTCAGAAATGTCTATCAACTTATCAAGGGAGATGGCAATTAAAAATCACTGAAGTTCTAATGATCTTTTTGTTTTTATTTTCCATATATTGTCACATAACTATGCACTAATAAGGTGGATTATCACTTACAGTGTCGTACAGTGTAATCACTTAGGGGATTCTGCAGACTGTTGAGGGTTCAGCTTCCTGATGAAGGTGAAACTCCGACGAGACAGTTTGTCACAGCCCCTTGTTTGTTGTCCTCTTCTCCCTCTCTGCTTATATCGTCAAACAGAACTGCCCGGTAAACCGTCAGCAGAAAGGGAGAAGAGGGCAACAAACGAGGGGTTGTGACAAACTGTCTTGTTGGAGTTTCACCGCCTCATCAGGAGTCTGAACCCTCAACAGTCTGCAGAATCCCCTAACTGATTACACTGTAAGTGATAATCCACCTTAACCCCGGCTGTGGTTAAGCATCAACGACTGCCGGACAACTGATACCCTGAGGAGGGCACCAACCACTGCCCTCAAGGTACCTGTGACGACAATCAAAGCAGACTATCACTCACCCACCAGATGGAAAACTCTACAGACTGTCGGTTCACACCCCATCACAAGCCAGCAAAACACCCACGAAACAAAGAAAGGTCTGTCACAGCCAAAAAATACACTCGAGGCACAGCGCTGGCACTGGGTCAAACAGAACCGGCCGATGAATGGCAGGCAGAGAGGGAGAAGAGGACAACAAACGAGGGGCTCTGGGTGATGTCAATAAGGTATCGTCACTGAACTGACAGCCCCCAGGTAATTCAGAATTTTATTCGTCTGACTTCATGAGGACATGAACTTAGGTCTTTTTAGAGGGCTGGGTGCCATCAAAATTTTGCGCCGAACCTGGAAAGCAAGTGTTGTATGTTCCCCTTATTTGCATTTGCGGATTGACCAGCGTTGTTTTTATTTCTTGTCCTTTTTCCTTTTTGATGTATCGGGAGAGGGGAGACCTGGGAGGGTCCCTGCCTTAGCAGCCCAGGATCTGTACCGGCACGGTCATTTTTGCTGTATCGGGAGTCGAAGTTGGACCGCATACGGAGGGCAGTCATCAGCCCAGCAACTAGATTTTAAGGGCAATCATCCTCAGAGACGTCACTGAAGAATTCTCCGCCACCTTCCCCCGAATAGAACGCACGGTAAAACAATACAAATAAAAATGCATGGTCACTATCACTGTATCTACAGTTGGGGAAGTTGCCCTGAATACGGCATTAATGGTCATGCCGCCTATTCGGGGGAAGACGGCAGGGATTAGCATGTCATACTTTGGGTGGCCATCAGCCACATCCTCCACTAATGGTTGATAGGTGGTGTCATTTTCGGCAAATTTTTCACCGGAACTGCCACATTTCCCTGAATTTTTTTATTTTTTTTTCTTTCTTCTGGTGTGTGATACGTATGTGCTTTAGGGTATATCTGTACTGTATTCAGTTTCAGCCAGGGCTGGTCTCCGGTTGGACCGGGGGCCCCTCCCCCGCCCGGGAGCCTGCCGGTTGGACCGGCCGGTCGACCGGCCCGGCAGACCCCCCGTCAAATCCAGCGCATTAGGCTGGACGGGGGGTACCGGGCAGTGACAGGCATCCCCACGACTGCCCAGCCCCCACGAGGCTGCAGCCTCCTTCAAAAAAAAAAAATTGGGGCTTTTTAGGCCCCACTTCTAGAAAACAACGAGCGGAGGATCTCCGCCGCTTATCTTTGCAGATCAACGGCAAACAACCGCCGCACGCGTTTTCTTAAAAATTAGGGGCTCACCAGGCCTCTTATTTGGATTTGGCATAGTGTGGTCCGACAGACCACGGACCAGGCATCATTGGCATGACATAGTCGCCCATCCTCAGCCACGTGGGAATTACTCGGCATGAGCAACGGCTCTCCTGAGGTTATATGCTTCTGCAACATCACTAAGCTCTGGGGAAGGAGTTATGGGTTTGGGTTTTGGCTCTGTCTGAGGTGCAAGCCCAAGAATGGACCTAAGCTATAATTTTTCTCTCAATCGATCTAGAATGGACCTGGCTCCACTACATGTATGTGGACAGACTGGCACGTAAGATACTTTTGGCCTGAGGACACCGATGACCCAGCGTACGTAAAAACAAACAAACAGAAAACGCTCTGCCTGCACGAGCTGAAACCTGCACCCGCAACTTTTCTGCCGTCGAGCTATACTCTGGAAAAACTACAAGTTTTGGGAAGGATCCACTCCTATCACGTCTCGTTCAGGCTGCAGGATTCTGATGGCCGTTGGCGTAGTCCAGAGTGCCCTCTGCTACTGAATTGAAGTTCTTGGGCCATGGGGGGTCGTATAAGTAACCTTGCTTACTCAACCCCTCCCCCTGAAAGTGACACCTCCGTGAATATCCCAATAATATCCCCACCTCCCCCTGGGGCACCCCCCCAAAAAAAATGGTCCTTCAAAATTTTCTTACGGATTTCGACAGCTCTTGAAGAGCACAGTCAGAATCCACCCAAAAAAAAAAAAAAAAAAGAGAATTAGGCTTTATTTTTTGAAAACCGGTTTCCCGGTTCACCCCCCCTGGGCTGGTCCAGCTCCGGTTCGACCGGGAAAGCTGAACCGGCCAGTTACCGGCCCAGCTCCGGTTAACTTTCAGCGTATTTGGACCAGTAAGCGAAAAAGTTGGCAAAAACACCAAATTTGGTGAAAAATTTGGCGAACTCCAAAAGCTACTCAAAATAGGTGCGAGGACTGGGCCCTCACGAGGCCTCTACAGACATGCAAGTGTTCTGGGTTGTAGCCCCCATTTTTTTTGTTGTATTTATTACTTTATTAATTATAGAAATAGTGCAAGGAAGATGAGCGATAGCGAACCTCAGCAATCAAACAGCATCATACACATAAGACTAGATAGTCGTGACCTCGAACCAACAGCAGAATTGCATCACGAGTTTCACCAAATAAGAACACACCAAGAGCTCATAATTGACAATGCTGAAATAGTCTCATCATCATCATCAATGAAGAACCAATGTTGATATCCTATCTGGCGCTCGGCGCCCAGACTACAGATGGCAGATCCTATCTCGCCTATACTACAATGCCGAAGATGACGACAACAGCTTCACCGAAGTACGAGCAGATAGCGGCCAATGCCGCACGCTTCCAGCACCAGGTATGTCTCTCGCTTCACTCTCGACCTCGTTCCCCAACACACAGGTGCCACATGCACCCAAGGACCACCCTGCGCCACACCCAGCTCACAGCAGCACAGCTTGTCTATGGCTGCCTGCTCCTTCCTGCTCGCCCGTGAGCGCTGGCCAGCAAATAGCGCATCAGCGCTTGCGCAGCATGCAGCCAGCACCCGAATGCCCAATGCAGAGGCAGGCCCTTTGCTATATGGAAGTGGCCTGCCTGCTTGCTGTCCCACGCTGCGCTGGGCCTCTCCCAAGAAGCTTCCGGTAGGCCCTGGTAGGCTGAGGCCCAGTCCACACATCGCCGGCCCTGGGCCTGTAGTGGTTGCTCGCGCCCCGCTGTCAACGGCCTGTGTTAGGCCCACATCCCGAATCCAACCCAGGGCCTGCCTTCGACACATTCACACAGGCTGCCCAGGGTGTGGGTTCCTTCAACCAACTGTCGCTGCGCAACTGCCTGAATTTCCTGAATTGCGTGGTGACCAAAATAAGGGTCCTCAGGCCCTCATTGAGCCTGCCTTCACTTAGGGAGGCCGACGTGCTGCATGGTAGGGCCTAAAAGGGGATCATCGGGGCTTCAGCCTCGCAATAGATATATAATGTTATAATATTGAAATATGCATATAATATCGTATACTATTGAAACAAATGTAATATTTCGTTAAATATAATCACAATCAAAATATATAAATGATTATCGATGACAAATAAATAGTAACAAGAAGAAATTAACCTGAGTGGGGATCTGGGCCGCCCGGGTGAGGTCCCGGGCAGCCTGGCCGGGCAGGGCCGGGCCCCCCCAGCGCACTCACCTGTCGGGGGATTTCGGACCCCCTTTCGGAACCCCTTTTTTTTTTTTTTTTTTTTTGTGTGTGTGTGTGTGTGTGTGTGAGAGAGAGAGAGAGAGAGAGAGAGAGAGAGATTCCAATCATACTTGTGGCGCATCTCATGCGCGGGGGTGCTGCACTCGCATGCACGCACGCACAAGTGATGCGGCGCATTAAAAAAGTAGAAAAATAAAAACGTCCTGGTTGTGTCCAGCCTCTTTTCAAAAGGATCCCTACAGCATATTAGCTAGGACCCGACGTCACGCAGAGATACACTTCAAACTTGCACTCCGTGAGGCTGTGCATCTCGGTTATGGGTCACTATTTCTCTGTTTTCTCGCTTTTCTTTTCTTTTCTTGTTTTTCTTTTCTTAGGAAAACGCGTAGTGGCCCTAAGGGCCTCTACTCACCAAATGCACAAAAGATGGCATATTATTCCACATTCTGCAGAAGATTCATTCTAATTTTGCACATTTCGTGAGTAGTGCAGCCTAGCCCTAAGAGTCAGGTGCAGAGACCAACAGGGCCTAGCTACGTGAGCAACCCATAACTGCTGACACACAGACCTGAATTCGAATCTTGAGTATATATTCAGCCAGCTCGTGCTCTACTTCATATTCACTGCCTGCCTCGATTTTGGTGGGGGGGTCTGCGCTACATGGCTGCGAGGACCCTTCAGATAGCCTGCATGGGCCGTCTGAGCCGTGTTAAGGGGATTCGTTCTCTCTCTCTCTCTCTCTCTCTCTCTCTCTCTCTCTCTCTCTCTCCCCCCCCCCCTTGTATACACACACACCCCTTACAAAAAAAAGAAAAGAAGAAAAAAGCGCATCTGCGCCACATCACAGA